CTGGACACTCTATCAGAAGCACTACGGGAACAACCAAGAGACTATGTAAAACAAAGCTGGGAACTAATATATTCTTGGGCCCAGAAGAAGACAGGAGTGTAGGGCAAAGTTTATGATGTATCTATATCTACTTAGCATTAAATTTATTTAATTAATTTTTTTCTTTTTCCTTTTCTTAACTATCATTTATTATTTTTAGTATGCTTGTTAATAATGGATGTTCATGGATTCATATTGTTTTAATTGTATTTTTTTTCTGTTGTTAGCCGCTCAGAGTGGTATAATTATACTAGATGGGCGGGATATAAATCAAATAAATAAATAAATAAATAAAATAAGCACATACGGGAAATGAAATTGGGGGAGCAGATGGGTTAATGAACCTGGAGTCTTGGACTCCAAAGGGGGTGGGGTTAGTTTTAGGGGTTAGTTCTTTTTCCTTTTCTTTTTTTCTTGTCTCTCTTTGTCTTGTTTTCATTTCTGTGTGAATAAATGTGTGAATTTAAAAAAAAAACATGGTTTTGCGATTGCAAAAGCGGATTCATCGTAGAGCGGGATAATCGTCCAGCGGGGCACGACTGTATTTCTTCTTTTTTCCATGTTTTGAAGATAGGGATGACATTTGCTCACCTCCAGTCTTCTGGGGTTATATCTGTTCTTCAAGAATTCTCAAAGATGATAGACAGAAACTCTGAGCTTACATCCAGAAGTTTATTTAGTACCCTTGGATGGAGCTTATCTAGCTGTGCAGAATGGCTGTCTTTTCAGATAGTTAGGTGTTTACTTATCTTGAGCAGTAGCCCCCTCGGTGCATCCGTTATTGAGTATATGTATGTTCAATTAGGGATAGGAAATGTGGCTTTTCAGAGGTTGTTGGACTGCAGTGCCCATCAGCATACCCAGGAGTGAGGAGTTGCATGGCAGCAACATCTGGAGCATCACACTTCCGCCTCCCGGCATCTGATCAAAGGGTTTCAGATAGTGAGCAAGAGCATACTACTAATCAAGTCAACAGACCACTGCTTAGAATAGCTCATATCCATGCTACACTTCATCTGAGGGGTGAATCCATAAATTTTGACTCCAGATTTGAGCTACAACTCCCATCAGCCCCTCTCAGCATGTACAAAGTGAAAATCTATGGAAGTTGTAGGCCAAAACATCTGGAGGTTCTTCATCTCTCCTGTACATCATTATTCCTTTGTTTCAAGGATGTAGATATATTAGCAAAAATATTTAGTATTGGAATCAGTGAAGCAGAATGCTGGTATGCCTTTATTTGGATGTAACAGTTGTGACACACCCCGTTATTTTGACAGAAATAACTGTCTTCTAAAAAAATGCTTCTATTTCTCATTCTTGTAACTTGTAGGTGGAGGAAGGGATGCATCTTCTAATCACTGGGCCCAATGGCTGCGGGAAGAGTTCTCTCTTCAGAATTCTTAGTGGTCTCTGGCCTGTCTATGAAGGAGTCCTCTACAAACCACCTCCTCAACATTTGTTCTATATTCCTCAAAGGTTTGTGGTTTTGTTTGTTTATTACTATTCTGCCTCTCACCAGACAGTGCTTACAGGTGGCTAACTAAACAAGTAAGAGACAATTAAAAACTAATCACCAGTTATCACCTAACACAGCATGCCTGCAGAAGTCCTTGGCTTCCCAGATTAATTGCCTAGTTTTTTAAAGAGAAAATACAGTGGGGTCTCGACTTACGAACGACCCTACTTGTGAACAATTCAACTTACGAACCCGCCCTATAGGGGAAATAAGGACTCGACATACGAATTTTGCTCGAGTTACGAACAGGAAAAAAGTGCCCCCTCCCTCCCCTTAGAGGCTTCTGGAGGGGGAAAAAAGGTCAGAAACTTAAAAATAAATAAAAGAAAGTCACTTACCAGGCCTTGGTAGCCCCCAAACAGCAGGAAACAGCTAAAAGCCCACACCAGAAGGGAGCCTGGCAGCCATTTTGTACTTCCCCCCCCTGCACCCTCCTCTCCCCGCCTATCAGCTGATCGGCTAACTCTGAAGAGGCTTGGGGAGGCTTGCTCAGCACCTAAAAAGCCTGCCTGTGTGTCTTTGTGCTGAAAAAATCAGCACAACATGCTTTAAAACATGCTATAAAATTGGCTTCATTGAAAAAAAAGATTTCTAAAGTGCTTTGCAAACTGTTCCCTGCCTTCCCCCTCGTTTCCTGAACCTAAGGGGGAAAAATATCCCCCTCTAGTGGCAGAAGGCAGAATAGCAGCTTCCCATTAGTTTCCATGGACGGAAAAGAGCAGATACAGATTAAATGGTTTTCAATGCATTCCTATGGGAAATGCAGATTCGACCTACGAACTTTTCGACCTAAGAACCACCTTCCAATACGGATTAAGTTTGTAAGTCGAAACCCCACTGTAAGACGAAATCCTAGAACTCAATCTAGTCATGGACATCTGCTGACAGAATGGTGGATTTCAGTGGAAGGCAGGCAGGTGCAGTCTCCTCTTGCCACTGCAGCAGCATCACCATCACCCCCCGCCCAAGATCTGCTCTGGAGGACTGAAAAAGCCTCGCCAACTGGTGTTCAGTCCCCTCTAAGGGTTACAGGGAGGAAAGAAGGGAAGTTTCATTGTGCTGGCTTTCTGACATTGAATATCTATCAGCCTTAGTTAAACAGTTATGAGAAAACTTTTTTTTTGAATGCTACAAACAAACCTTCCACCTGAGCTAGACAGTCGATTAGTGAAATGCTTGAAGGTCACAAGGAGGGTGGGGACACTTCGGATGGCCCATGATGCCACAGACCAGCCAATAAGAACCTGAGGCATTCATGCAACCATAATACAAACAGCAATTCCATTAATATTCTTTATAACAAAATGTGATTTTCCCACAGGCGATGTTCTAGTTTAGAAAAGAGATTGGCAGAAGGTAGATTAGGATCTCCTGGCAGGCCTATAGTTAATTTGGTTGACATAATTATTGTTATTGATTTATTTTATTTTATTTATATGTCAGCCTTTTCAAATCTGACACCCAGTATGGCTCCCAATATACTTTTTAGAAAATTGTCTCCAAATACACCCATAATGCCTTAATTAATATTTCACATTCTTCCAGCTTCCTTTCAATGTAACTTGGGCTACAGTATTTTACTGACTTACATGGGAGTAATCCCCATTGAATTCTGGAGGACTTATTGTGATGAGATAAGTTTAAGATTCTGCTTTTAGACATAAAACACTTTAACTGTAGTGAAGTTGATAGGCATAAACCTCCACAAGATATTCCGGTGGGTATATGAGTGAAATAAAATGGACTGATGCATGAAAACCTTGCTTTGGTTTGTGGCCATTGTTTGAAAACACCATACCAAAATCATTTTAATATCTGGCTTTTATTCAGTATAGTTTATAAATGCAGTAGTTTTTGCTGGTTCTTAGTAGGCAAGTCCCTACCTGCTGACGAACAAGATGCTCTGCTGTTTTCCTGTGATAACTAAATGAAGCTATGCTTGGTTTTACCCATATAGGGATTGCCTAGATTTCTGATGTTTTAACCAAGAATTTGGCTTGCATCCAAATGGCATATGGACCTCAAGCAAACCTATTTCGTACACTTTTTTAAAGTGTGTATTAGGTATATGTATTAGGATAGGTATGTGTATAAGATATGAGTATACCTAGTAAACATACTTCATACACTTCTCTTAAAGCTCTGTTTGAGAGCCTGTCCAAAGCCTAATACACATTTTAATATGCTTCTTTTTGCCTTGTCTTAAAGGGCTAGTTGAGAAACTGCGCTCAGCTGAATCCACAGTGGCAGATTTGGCTGCAGGCAGTTTCTCGACCAGCCCTATAACACAAGGGAAATGAAGTATTTTTTTAAAAAATTAGTAACTGATGCAGTGTATTTATGCTGCCTTAATGGAGTCCTTTAAAAAAAAGAAAACCAGTTTCTCTGCCTCTCCTCAGGAAGTCTTTAGTTCACCATTATCCTGAAGTGGCTCTCTTATTAAGCCACTTTACTATATTTACAAATCAAAAGGGAAAGGCTTTTGATCCATTCCTAGCGATCACACAGACTGGGAATGAACCAAAAGAGAACAATCCTGCCCACTCCAAAAAGGTAGAAACCCTTGACAGGGGCCAGAAAGGTGCAGGTCAGACCACTTGGGGGGGGGCTGGTTCATTCCAGCAAAGATAACATCTGATTGTCATCTTTAGGAACAAGTCATCCTGCCCCTGCTGTGGATCAAATAGCAGGCTAAATGCACATGTAGTCCATCTCTTAGTCTTTGGACGAATGCTTCTTTAGTAGACAGGATGCACTGTTAACCTTGACATATAAATAGTTTTTTCTGCTGTTATAAATAGCAACAAGGCACAGAAGGTGATTGGAAAGATGACAATACATGTTACCATTAGAAAATGGCACAGGAGTTTCCTGGGCAGGTCTCCAGGAAGGGAATATTGGCTTTAGAGATTAAACGGTCATGTTCTCCCATGCTGTCCAAGGAACTCTGTGACTATCAGGCAGACATTTGGGCAGACCATTACCAGGGTTTAGGTAACGCAGATGGTCAATCTTAGATCAATAGACAGAGATTATTTTTCCTAAAATACTTTGTGAGATATTGAAGTTGATATTTTTTTTAAATCCCTTTGGCTGGGAGATTTGGAACAATAGAGGATTTCATCAAAGTTGAGGCGTGCATCTTAATATTTCTGTTCTCTGTATAAACACTGGTGAATCTTCACATTTTTTTTTCATTGTGAAAGAGTGGAGGGAATGGATGGCCATCAGGGAAGAAGTTTGGTCTTTTCAATAATACTGACAGGGTGGGAGAGGATGAATTAGAAAATCCGCTTTTAAAAACTGTAGTTTATGTCAGCTGGACTGACACAATTTATATACAATATAATGTACATGTTTTTGCTTTCAACAGCGGGTTGATGTCACGCCTTCACAGAAGGCCTCCCTTATTACATTTTCACAGAGCTCAAAGGTGGCCCTTCTCCATCACAATCTTTCCTTCCAACAACCTTGTGAGCTTGGGTTTGGTTGCACATTTGTGAGTCACTGACAGTCTACGATGAGCTTTAGTGCTGCATGGAATTTAAATCTCGGTCTCCCCCGTGCTAGTCAGACACTCTGTAACCTAGCACTCCTTAATCCAGTGGTGTCCAACCTTGGCCCTCCAGATGTTCTTGGACTTCAACTTCCAGAAATCCTGGCCAGCAGAGGTGGTGGTGAAGGCTTCTGGGAGCTGTAGTCCAAGAACATCTGGAGGCCCAAGGTTGGAGACCACTGCCTTAATCTGATGCCTTCCATATGTATTGTATGGCCACATCTGTCTGCAGGCATCGTTATGGTGCACTCTGGGCTACATTTCTGGCACTTCCGGCAGTTTAGAAGTTTCAGGGCTACTGTCAAATGTGACAACTACAATTCTTCAGGTTGGTGGGAAACCATACAACTGCTTTACTTTCAGGGTTTTTTTTCCTTGCCCTGTTTCACAGCTTCTGCTTTGTGCTCACTGAGGATTACACTTTGGGGTTTCCGCGTGTGCAGAGTCAGTCTTTGGAACTTTTTAGGGCTGAGTTCCCTCCCTCTACCGTTTTGGTGAGAGCTCCACCCACCCCCTCCACTGCGCATGTATAATATGCCCTCGCAGATTGCCATTCATTCCTTTTTGTACACCAGACCAGTCACCTCTCAGAACATTCACTGAGCTACTGACTGATAATATTCACTTTCCTTTCTCCCTCCTTGCTCTGTGTCTCCCTCATATTCAACTTTTGTTATTCCCTTTTCTCCTGGTTTTGTCTCCCAGTTTGATCATCCAGTTTGTTCTTCCTTACTTTTACATTCCTTGGAACCATTGTGGGATGGGGAGAAACAATACACTAGGTCACTAAGGAAAAACCAGCAGGAGGGAACAAAGCAGGAGAGGGTAGCATGACCCCTTCCTTACTATCTTTCCGCCACCAGGTGAAAAACTTCCTGTTTAAACTGACTTTTGATTTGTGAATGGCAGGGCTGGAGATACTAATGGGATGTGTGGCCATGCAACATATTTTGTTTTCATAATGTGTTTTAAATTTGCTTTGAACCAGTGATGTTTTTAAAACTGCTATAGGTGCAATCGTTTTTTAATATTAAAATTCATATTATTCTGATTTTAAGTGCATGCACACTTTTTTAGCTGTTGCATGCCTCCTTGAGTTCAGTCATTGGGAGAACTGTGGGGCATAAAGTAAATAAATAATCATCAATAAGTAATCAAGCCTATCTGATCTCTCTCTTTTTCTCTGCCACCTTCTCTTCTTTCTCCCTCTACCCTTCCCTTCCCCTTAGGAAGTCACCTGAGAAAGGACAGAGTTGCAGGGACTTACACTTGGAACACTGACATGCCTTAAAAATAAGCTAAGGGCCTCCTGAGAAAATGGCCAGGGCTTCAGTTTGCCTACCCCCTGCAGTACAGACTTGACATGTCTGAATTTGTGGATTTGACTGTCATTCGTAATTGCTA